CAAATTGCAAAATTATACCCCGACTTACGCGGTTATGTATAGCATTTTTAAGTAGCTTTTACTATATTGCCTATACAGTAGCCTATACAGTGTTACACTAGAACACCATATTATACTATGTAGTTCTAGGTATTACCATATAATACTACTGTACATAGTATTATATTAAATACTCTGTATCCATTATAAATTAATTTTTTTTATTGCATGTTTTTTGTAAATATAACTTAATAATAATTTTAAATGCATGATGATATAAGTACATGACAAATTTTGAAAATAATTGTTTAATAAAATAAATTGTTAATAACAAGCACACACAATATTTAGAATTAATTCAAATGTATTAAGGGAGAAAAAGACCATTATTTGAGCATTTATCTTAAAATTTGATAAAGTCACATGAATTTTCTTATTTTATAAATGTGAGATGTTGCACTGTCTCATAGAAACAAGGCTTTCACTGGAATTTTAATAAATCTTACACACACACATACATACATACATACATACATACATACATACATACATACATACATACATACATACATACANTAAAAAAAAAATGTGTGATTGTTCATATAATCAACAGTTTTCAATAAATCAACGTAAAAAGTAATATCAAGTATGAATCACTGGTAATACATTCTAGTAAATCCACTGATAAATATATTAATATATTAAATATTTATTATTCCATTTTTGTAAATTTACTTAGATTAGAATAATTGACAAATATATTTTAATATTCTGATCTGATATTTTAAGAGAGAATAAAAAATTAATATATAGCAATTTAGATTTATTCTGTTCAGATTTAACCACTCAACAGTGAGGGATGGATATATCCGTTAAATTCTTTTGGGGGTATTGCCAAAATCTACTGTAAAAAAAATTCACATAAAAAGTGAATTATGTAACAATAAAAAAAAGACTTTTCTTTACTAGACATAACTGTTTACAAAAAACCTTTTTCCAAAACGGTAATTAAAAAAAAAAGTGTGGAAAAATACTTTAAAAATTTCCCATGTTTATTTTCCACTACTTTGGGGTAGCACCATAACTGACTATCCCACTGCTGAAAGGTTAACTCATTTCAGTTAACTATATTTAAAAGAAAAGCTGCATTTCAGATCATATGTTGTAATCATTGAAAGGAAAAATTGACAAATAAAATTAAACTTGCATGATAAATAAATTTAACTTAGTTCTTAAAGTTACCATTTCAGTATAAACAAAAGTCAGAAGAAAGTTATTCTGACTCTCCTATAATGGATATTTACTGTTTATCTGATAATATCTTACATAAAATTTTTAATAACTTTATTGAAATTATTAAGTAAAACATGAATTAAAAATTTTAATTAAGTGTAATTCACAGAAGAAATTATTCTATAAAAATAAATTAAACTAAAGACTTAAGATATTTTGAATTGTCTATTTTTGTTTATTGCAAAACAAATCATTAATATAATCTTGAATGTCTAATCATTTTTGTACTAATAATTAATTTAAATAAAAGTGTTTTTATTTGTTCAGTTAGAAATTTAATGGTATGAATAATAATTGTAAGTTCTTAATTGTTTCATTTAGTTCTTTAAGAAAAGTTTTATTTTTATCTTTACTAGATAATTGAGCTACTTTTTAAGCAGAATGCAAATTGTCAAAAACTGGAGAAATTATTCCAAGAAAGAGAGAAATGTTCTTCTCAATCTTCAGAAGCAAAAAATATTGAGGATAATGTTGAAGGTAAATTTAATTATCTTGTTTTGATATTTTATACTATCTAACAGATGTACTTATGTCAAGTACTTATGTCAATGTCTTATTAACTCATTGTTGATGTAAATAAGAATTATATTTTTAATTTTAATAATTTACTTTTTTTTTCTTCTTTGAGTTTATTACAATATAACTCAAATCCTTTATATCATTTGTAAAAAAATATTTTTAAAATAGTTAAATTTTTAGTAGATAGGTATTTTTTTCTTCAAATGGACAAATTTGTAATAAATTGAAAAATCTTAAGAAAGAATAAATCAGGGGTTCTTAACTTGTGTTCTGCCAAACCCTAGGGTTCTCTTTTTAATGTTATCCATGTTTAATGATGAAAAGAAATTTTTTTGCAAGTATTTCTGACCTTTTTAAAAATGTCTTCATCAGGCAAATGGCAAAAAAACATTATTTGAATGTTGTTATAAAATTTAAAATTTTTAACATTGGCTCATTCTAGATGAACACAATTATGATATTTAAATTTGAATATAATGACGAATTGAATTCCATGTAGCTAGCCAACTACATAGAATCTAGATTAGCACTTTACCATACAAAAGGGATTAAATTGTAGAAGTAGGGGTTTACTTTTTATATTACCTTGTTAAGGATTTATAAATCCTTGGGAGCTCCAATGTGGGTTTATTGCAGGGCCCTTGTTTCTCAATGATCAAAGCATCCTAGATAAAAATGATCTTGCAGTTCATACATTGTGCCAATGGGGCAGTCTCATTCCAGGCTGATACAAAATTATGCTTGATTACAGTAATACCCCGACTTACGCGAACCCGGAGTTATGCGATTTTCAAATCTTGTCAATTCGTCTTTTGTTTGAATGCCACGCAACTCTCGATTACTCACTCCTCCCACACTATTGTTCGGCTTATATGTTCGGATGTGTCATGCAGAATCAACACATAGCTACAATTTATTTTGCATTATTTATTTCCGTGTTTGTTATATCTACGGAGACTCGAGAGACTCTATGTGGTGATTTCTTGTAACCGTGAACGAATCAAAAGATGAGATAAGATTAACGAGAACATTTATTAGCTTACGTACATCCGACTTGGATTTTACACAAATTGCAAAATTATACCCCGACTTACGCGGTTATCGCTTGGTTCCACCTATCGCGTAAGTTTGGGGTATTACTGTACTTTTTTAGCTAGTTCTGTGGTATGCCTGTTGTTACATATGTCTCCCTGATGTTCCAATATGTAGCTAATCAATTCTCTTGTTGTGGGCTTTATATAGCATGTTTTTTGTATTACTATTTTGATGTAGCAGCAGTATCTGGTAAATGTCTGGCTTCTCTTAATATGGAAAAGCTGTCCCTGTCATTGCATAATATTCTATGTAATTTCATTTGCGGTTTTATTGGAAGTGTAAGCCCAAACTATCTAAATCTTCCTAAGATGAACAGAGAGACCAGACCAAAATACGGAATAGAGGAGCTTACAAGGATGAGATTTTCCTTTTCTGTAACTAAAGCAGTGGGTGGGAAAAGTGATTTTTATACTAAGTTCCAACATTTTTTACTAAGATGAAAAAGTTTCCTCAATTAAAGTAAGTTGAGAACTCCTGGAATAGATAAAAAAATTCTGAATATTGTAATTGTAAATATAAAATAACAAAAATTTAATGAGTTAGAATTTCAATATTAATGTAAAAATTATTACTAGAGAATAGTAGAGTAAGCTATCATTCTATTGCTGTGTGGGATGCAGGTTCTAATTCATTTCATGATTGGTGAGACTTTTCATGATGTCAAGTCAGAATATCTATAATTTACATTAACTGAAAATTAGTTTGTTACATAATCCATAAGTTGATACCTGATGACAAAATTTAAATCAAGTAGAGATGCTAAGCTGAATATTTTATTTGGCCATTAAATCGTTAAAAAAAAAATGTGTGATTGTTCATATAATCAACAGTTTTCAATAAATCAACGTAAAAAGTAATATCAAGTATGAATCACTGGTAATACATTCTAGTAAATCCACTGATAAATATATTAATATATTAAATATTTATTATTCCATTTTTGTAAATTTACTTAGATTAGAATAATTGACAAATATATTTTAATATTCTGATCTGATATTTTAAGAGAGAATAAAAAATTAATATATAGCAATTTAGATTTATTCTGTTCAGATTTAACCACTCAACAGTGAGGGATGGATATATCCGTTAAATTCTTTTGGGGGTATTGCCAAAATCTACTGTAAAAAAAATTCACATAAAAAGTGAATTATGTAACAATAAAAAAAAGACTTTTCTTTACTAGACATAACTGTTTACAAAAAACCTTTTTCCAAAACGGTAATTAAAAAAAAAAGTGTGGAAAAATACTTTAAAAATTTCCCATGTTTATTTTCCACTACTTTGGGGTAGCACCATAACTGACTATCCCACTGCTGAAAGGTTAACTCATTTCAGTTAACTATATTTAAAAGAAAAGCTGCATTTCAGATCATATGTTGTAATCATTGAAAGGAAAAATTGACAAATAAAATTAAACTTGCATGATAAATAAATTTAACTTAGTTCTTAAAGTTACCATTTCAGTATAAACAAAAGTCAGAAGAAAGTTATTCTGACTCTCCTATAATGGATATTTACTGTTTATCTGATAATATCTTACATAAAATTTTTAATAACTTTATTGAAATTATTAAGTAAAACATGAATTAAAAATTTTAATTAAGTGTAATTCACAGAAGAAATTATTCTATAAAAATAAATTAAACTAAAGACTTAAGATATTTTGAATTGTCTATTTTTGTTTATTGCAAAACAAATCATTATTTACTTTTATGGTTCCAAAAAATATTTTTTCCAGATAATTTACAAAAAAAAAAAACTAACTTATTATTCTAATTGGAATTTTTTTAGCTTCTTTTAAAGAAGTTGGATATCAAACAGTTAATCAAAAGTTTCAGCCAAATTAAGGTAATTATTTAATTTTAAAAATTAAAACATTTGATAAAGTGTAGTTTATAAGTAGAAATATTAAATAACTAAATGTTTAATATAACCTCAAATCTAAAGTACTGTAGTTATAATCACTCTAATTTTGTATGGATAACCTTATCATATGTTTTATTTATATAATAATAATAAATTGGAAAAACTTTATCAAAATTATAATTATTTTCTTTTAATATCCAATGATATGTAAAGTACATGTTGTCAGTAGAGTAATCAACATGTACACATGTTGATTACTCTACTGTTATGATGTATAGAACTTTAAAGCTTTGTTTACATAGACATTTGGTAATGAAAGTGAAAGGAAAAGGTAAAGAAAAAACAATTTATCTTCACACTGTTGTTCTAATTTATTGATTCTTATAGCCATTTACAAAAAAAAATATCAAAATGGCAGTCAGTCATGCATAAACAATAAGGAAGATCATTAAAATAAGATGGCAACTGATAACAGCAAATTGTTTTTTTATGTTTACTTTGTTAATTTACTTATTGTTGAAGACTTAAATTTTTTTATAATAATTATAAAAATATAACTAGAAAAAAAATCTTGTTTAATCTCAAAAAATTTGTTTTTCTGAATACTGGTGAATATTTTTCACTAGCAAAAGTTCAGAATTTAAAATGTAAGCACAAAACAAAAATTTACCAGAAAAAAAATGTCACTGCTGAACCACTATTCTCACTGCTTTCTGCCAGAAATTCAGTCTCTGGACAAACTTAATTTAAATTAAGACAATGAAATTATTTTTTGTTTAATTTTTTCCCATGTTTATTTCATTATCTGTTATTGTATATTTTGTTAATTTAATTTGATAAATAAAACAAAATCAATATAATAACATTTTGTCATTTAATAGCCAACTCATTCAACATAAGATGAGCTTCCTTACATGGTAAAGATTTGATGGATTGTAATCGTTAGGATTCTAGTAGGATGTTGAAATTATTTGTTCATTGATTTACTGTTTAGAAAATGTTATGAAGAGATTTATTTTATAACTGTATTCTAATTTGGCATATTGGAGAATAAAACTGATACTGTAGTCTCCATATTAAAGGCAAAGAAAAAGAAAATAAACTAGTTATTTAATAATATGGTTATTGAAATTTTACATGAATATCAATTTTTATAAAATAATATAAAACATTTCTCCAATGTAAAGTTTAAAAATTGAAGCAAATAAAACAAAATAGCAATAATGCCATCTTCAGTTTTGATTTCATTAGCAAAATAGCAGAAAGTAATGCTGCTGTTACGGTTACCAACTCTCCTGGAATTTTGCAAAAATTTTTAAATTCTCTGACTTCAAACTGTGGTCTATTATTCCTTTATTTACTTGATAAGACAATCATCTTTCGGAGTATACATACTGTACATTAAAACAGAGTAAAGACTAGGTAACAGCATTTTGATATTGCTGAGAGTTGGCAAGCTTAGCTGTTGTGTTTAAATAAGGCAAAACATTGAACAATTAACTCTTTATTTTTAATTCTTTTTGCCATATGAGCACTAAGAAGACCTTTTATTCATACCCAGTTGTGAGTTTTGCTAAACCTACAATGGAGCTAGGGATAAAATTTAAATATATATAATTATTTTAATCAGCAAAATTCACTTTACAGCAATGAATTTTAGTCTATTAGGATGATATGGTAATTGTCATATCTTGAAGATCAAAATACTCTGAAATGACATTGTCAGAGAGAGGGGGAGGATAATTTCTAGAAATTTATTAGCTTGTAAACAGATTTAAATAGGAGTATTTAATAATATTACTTAATGTATAAAGAATGAATGGGGAAATAAAGGTCAGGTGTGTGTATTCATGATAGTTTCTAGAAAACTTGTGAATAGTAAATGAATGTCTGTGATATACAAAGGATTTTTAATGTTTTCTAAAGATGTTCTTGGTGATTTTAGACAAAGGAAAACTGTTTGGGTTTGTAATTGTAAATTGAAACTGTAAATGGCTCACTCCATCAAATAATGTACATATACATTAAAATTGCCTTTTAAATGCAGATTATCTATTGTTATCCACACAAAATTACCATAAGTTCATACCATATTTTAAGATGAAATAAATTATCATTGAAGAAATTTAGAAATATTACTATAAATTATTATATTTAGTGACTATTTAACAATCTTTTTCATGTAATTAATTAACACAATGATTATTGCCAATATAGTAATATTTGGCAAGAATCATTGTATTAATTAATTATATGAAAAAGATTGTTAAATAGTCACTAAATATAATAATTTAATTATAATTTAGTAATTAATACAATGTATTAATTCAACATAATGTAAACAAATATATCTGATAGGTTATATCACACCTGTCATATTTGTTTATATTTTGCTGAATTTCATGAAACAATAATGTGTGTTTAAATTAAAATTCTGGATTGATCATACTATATATTAAAAAAATTTTACATTAAATAACATTTTTATAGATGCAATACACAGCATATTCATTAGATTCCATAAGATTATAATAAAGCTGAAAAATTCACAGTTATCTGTACCTTTTCTATGTTTAGATGCAGAAATACTTATTATTTTGTTACATATAGTCTATATGAGTAGTAGAATATACATACAGGTTTATCTAAGTGTGTACTCTATGATGATTGCTTAAGTCCTGGTCACACTATGCGATTTCCAGCCACACAGGTGACCACAACTGCAACAAGCGTGAGTCTTCTCGTGGTCACATATTGTTCATTGACGTTGCAACTTGGAAACACCTGACCCTATACTAAACCAATAAAATTACAGTAGCTTGTTTTTAACTACTTCCATGAGTTTACTGACATTTTACATTCTACTTCATGGTATTTACAGAATTTTAGCCACTTTTCTTATTAAAATGGTAAGCAGTTCCTTTTCTGGAATGAATAAAAGAAAAAAAGACAATTATTTTGATATAGCTGGCAAGGATACACAAAAAAGATAAAATCTTCAATAAAATGAAGAATTAAAATCCCACAGGTATTCGTGAACCCAAATAAGCTCAATCAATCTCGATTCTGTAAAAGTATAAATCCTCTAACTATCTGCCATGAGGATGAACTATTTTCAATGTTGTCATTGCATGATGTGGCTCAAAGGCATTTGCTGATTGGATGTGCATTTGCAACCATCGCGAGTAGAACAAACTTTTTGTTTCTAGTTGCAGTTGCGCCGGTTTTCGAGGGGGATTATTAGTTATCAGGAACAGCAGTTGCAGTCACCTGCGCAGCTGGAAATCGCATAGTGTGACCAGGGCTTTAATGATATTTTCTTAGAATGCATTTTCATCATTAAGTGGTACGTACCTCTATTTTATATTTCAGTAGAATCAGCATCCTCTTTTATTGTTAATTAATATTTAATATTCAAAAGTTTATAGTTAAATAAAATCAACTTTAATTATTTGAATTATTGAAAAATTTTGTTCTGAGAAGATTCAAAATTTAGATAAATCAATGCTCAAATTTTGTATGTTTTAAAGTATTTCATGCATATATTTTCAATTCTATAAAATTTTATAAATTATTTTTAAGAAATAGTTTAATTTCTTTATCATCTTTCTTTTATTGTCATTATGTACAAAGTTAAAGCCAACAGATTTAGCAAATCTTCAAATACTTTTACAAATACTTAATGTTAAAAATAAAATAAATTTTAAAATCACTTTTAATAAAATGATAGAATTGTATGTATTCTATTTCCTGAAATAAAATTATTCTATCTTTATACAGTAGATATGTTTCTGAAAAATCCATGTAAAAAAAGATATTATATATGTGGAGAAAATGAAAGATTGGTTTCAGACCTTTAAAGCACATCCTATTACATTAATTGGATTATTATATGAGTTTTATTGGTTTTTTAAAACTTATATAATAATCAAATCAAATCAATTTATTAATCATAATAGGCCATAGCTTGTTATAACAGGATGTTAGACTTACATTATATCAAATTAACTTATATCAATATTAACAATAATCATGTAAAACTAAGTATTCTACAATTACAGTACTCATGAATATCAGGTTTGTTACATAAAAATTAGAAAGGCTGATTATAAAAAGTTTTTGCAAAATTATGCAATTGGTATCATTGTAGTATTTGCTAAATTAAATAACCAATACATTTGATTTTCCTCCTTAAAGGTATTTAGCTGATTTAGTTCACCATTAATTCTTAGTTTCTGGCCTTCCTTGCACTCACTAAACATATGAAGTTCAGTCAATATTTCTTTGCATCTTGGACAGTATGTTTTCAAGAATTCATAAATTTTATCATTTATAAAAAAATTTCTTGATTGTAAATGGCATATCCGATAACATGTAGTTATTATTAAAAAGGTAATCCATAATAATGCTGTACCACTCTGGTTCTTTCCAGTTGTACATTTCTCCAATGTCTTGAAATAGAGAAATTTCCAATGTATCAATATTTTGGAATAGTTGAGATTTTATCAGGTTGCTAGTTTCTGATTTTACCAGCAGTGGGGTTATAGAAACACCAAAGTCATTGACAATATTTGTCATTTGGTTCACCCAAGAACTTTTTTGCGGATTTTGACAGGATTTTTGATATAATAAGAACAACAATTCAGAAGGTAAATTTCCATTATCTATAATCTTGAAAAGAAAATTGATGAACCTTTTTACAAAGAAGGGAGTTAATTTGAATCTGTTAAGTTTTAGTCTAAGTGCATATCCAGAAATGTTATATTGTAGAGAAAAAATTTTGTGGATGAATTTATTTTGAATTATGTCAAATTTTTTATAACTTTTGTAAGGCTCCAAATTGGAGAGACATAGCCTATGGCATTAATAATTATCGAGTTAAACAGTCTAAAATGAGTAAATATATTCTTAAGTTTAATTTGGGAAAACAACTTCACCATATTATTGATCAATAGGTTAGATTTGGAAATAATTTTTTTATATTGTTTTTCAAAAGTATACTCAAAGGTCAACTCATATAATAATCCAATTAATGTAATAGGATGTGCTTAAACAAAATATTTCAATTTTAGTTAATAAATCAGAAGAGGCAATTGTAACTTATTTAACAGAAAAATTTAGTTAATTTTATATTCAAATAAATTTTATTTTTTGACTTTTCAATTAATGTCAAAATATCTCTAGCATTTAACACAAGTGGCATACAAAAACTGTTCAGTGTTTAAAGAAATCAGAAAAAATGCAATCATACAAACTGTCAAACTTCAAATTAAAATTTTTTTGTTACTCATAGAATTAAAATCAAATGGGATGTTTTTTAAAAAAAGCAAATTTATTGGAACGTGTTAGTTCAAAACAAATTGTGTAAACAGAGAATTGGATGTATACACACAAACATCATTATCTGCTTGATTTTTATTTATTAATATATGATGAAATATTTTCAGTATTTCTAAGACCAAAATTAGAAATATTAATATCAGAAGCTGCGATTTATAAGTTTTAATGTTTTTTTGTAAATTAAAAATTTAAGTTATTAATTAATTTATATTAAATTAATTTTAGGATTAGAACATACAAACATTTTTATTGATTTTCAATTTTATAAGTTATTTAATTAAGAAAATAAATGTTTTTATATTAATTTCTTTAAAAAGATTTATAAAATTAAATAACTATATTTATTTATATTTACAGATTTGCCAAGATAATATTTTTACAATGTTGTTTATAGAAAATATTAAAAAAACAACAAAAAAACAAAAAGAAATTAGAAAAATGCCAATATGTTACTGTTACAAAATGTATTTATGCTTTTTCTTAATGTGCAATATTGTTTCCCTAGGCTCTTCAAAATATGAAATTTCTTTATTTTGTATATAAATAGCTTGTTAAATATATATATATATATAAATTATAAAATGTATAGTTTGTAAATTGTAATTTAATATTTTTTGTAGCCATAAAGTATGACTTTGTTTTTGTTATGATTTAAGAATGAACATTTTAATAATCACTGTAAATAGAATTGCAATATTACTTTTATTCTGAAATTTTTTTCTAACTATTCAACTGTTATTCAAGAAAAGGTTATTTGTTAATTTTTGAGGAGTGTTTTTAATGTTTCAAATTATGAAATAATTATAAAATAACATCCTCATATGTATAATCAAGGATTCAATGAAAGTCATTCATTTTTTGATTCAGTTAGGATGAAATATGTTTATATATATTCATACCTAAACTAAAATCATCTTAATAAAATGCTATTCTGATGAGGCAGATGGATGGATAATATCAGCAAGCAATATTTATATCTATTTTTATAATTGAATCCATATTGAATTGGCAATTCAGTATATTCTATTGACTAAATGTAAAATCCATTTACCAATTCAAAACTATTGAAACAATATTTTTTTTATAGCAGTTATATTTAGACATTTAAGAAAGTGCCATTTGTTAATAGCTAGTTTAGAATTATAGTATTTAACAACAACAAAATTGGTGGATGAACAATTTTATATTTTGTTGTCCAAATGCTGCAGTTAGGTAATTATTACTGATTACAGACTTAGTATTTTGAAACTTTTTTTTTCTTTTATTAATTAAATGTTAATCAATTTCCTATTACTGTATTCAAGAATTTGATATATCTATAAATATATATGTAAAAGTTTACTCTCTCTAGAATTTGAATCATAAGTAGAGAGCTGTTATAAAATAAGAACTAAACAGAATTAAAATTTTGAAGATTTTTTTCAAATTTTATTTTTTTTTTTGATGATTCAAATTTCTTTCTGTACAAAAATAACAATTTTTTTTTTACTTTTTAGTACACTATGAAACATTTATTTATTTCATTACATTTAGAGGAAAAGTTTTGATGGATGTTTGATTTCTGCCCTCCCACATCATAAAAACAAATAACACCCCTTAAAACAAAAAGAAACAAAATAAATAAATAAAAACAAGTAATAAATGTTAAAAGACATACAGTGCTTTTTTACATTTAAATTTAAAATCAGTGAGATCGAGATGTAAAAATCTATCAAAATTATTAAGATTTTGCAATATATTGTAGATCATTACTAAGATAGATTTAGAGCAGGGCTTCTTAAACTATAGGTCGCAACCCCATTTGGGTCGCTTAGCGAAATCTTGGGTCACGAGATCTTAATGCAAAATATTGAAAATAATTTGTGAGAGTTTGAAAATGGCAAGCTCTGTGTCATAGGTTTCGTGAGTTGCGCTTTTTGTTACTTCTGGTGCAGCGAGACAATGATTCAGCAACACTAATTGTAATGTGAACTAGTGTACTGTTGTCGCTTTTCAGTGTGTTCAGTTGTCTCTGTTCCATTGTAACATAAGAGTGAACTGTGGTAGTACACCATTATTGTTTTAGCAAATTTGTATATATCTTTGTGATTTTTTTCACGACCCAAAAAATATAAAATAATCATAAATGGGGTTGTAAATAAAAAAAAGTTTAAGAAGCCCTGATTTAGACAATAAAAAGGAGTAAAAACATAAATAAATGATTTTTCGATGGCATTTGGAGTAAAAGCCAATCTTGATAAAGAAGACCATTAAAATATTTGTAATATATTGACTGATTAAAATATTTAATTCTCTCAAAGAAAGATGGGAAGTCCGGACAAATTCTAGCAATATTAAGAGTCAACAGTGAAAGGCAAATGACACATTTTGTTAAACGTAAGATACAGTCGACCCCCCTATAAGATATAGATACGTTCCAATTTATTAGGAATCCGATTTCTTACAAGTCGTTCCAATCACAGCCCGACACGTGTCAAGTTTACGGACTACGGCTGACTGAAAGGTTTTCTTCCATAAAATTAATCGATTCTACACTAATCCGACTCAACATTTCCAAAATACGTATATTTTTTCGTAGTTTTATAGGAATCGTAATTATAGGGGGTCGACTGTATATCTTATTAATAGCAGAAATAATCTTGTGTAAAATAGAAGGTGCAGCCATTGACCAGATGAGCAATTCATAATCAATGCAAGATTGAAAATTAGCATTAAAAAATGGTTTGCAATGCTCTTTTATTAAAGATGAGCTTACAAAATTGCCATAAAATGCCATGTCTGATAGCCAGGGATTTAACTAGTTTATCAATGGGTATGAAACAATGTATCATACCCCATTTCATGAATAATTATCAGTAATAATAATAATTTTATGATTCTGTAATCTTTTTATGCTCCATTCTTACACACCGTGTAAAAAATTTGAGCTGAAAACTTGTCAAATCAGATGATTGTGCAGTAAGATATCACCATGGGAATTTGTATTCAAATCTGATCCAGATTTTCAGAATTTATAACAGATGGTATGAATAGTATGGATTAGCATCATTTCTCATTCCTGGCCTGTGCTAACTGATTTAATTGTATGTAAAACTTGTCCATAAAGGACAAAATTGTGACTAGCAATAGAGCCTTAATGTGCTGATTCCTCCTCATGTTGATAGTTCAACCAATTAAATTTTAGAATGGAAAACTTTAAGGAATTACTAATATTAAAACTTTGAAGTAATGAATTTATTGAATTAAAGTATTGTTATCTATAGTTTTTCATATTACTTAAGTGTAAATAAACTATAAACAAATCCATATCTGTTTGCCTTGAATGAGTAGTGGTTATAAGATGATTAATAGTAATATAATTTTTTTTAATTTTATTACAATTTGTTATAATTTCATACTATGTATCTTATTTTATCTTCAAATTTGTTATCTGTTATCAATTAAAGAACAATCAGTTTTATATTTTAATTATTTTACAATCAAATATAATCCAAAAGGAAAAAAATGTTATTTCTTCAAAAGCAACAATTATTATTCTTATTGTCTTTTTGTTGATTTTAATAAATTTATCAATGTTAAATATTGAATAAAAAAAAAACATATGTGTGGGATATGTGTATATATTTTTTTATATATTAAATATATAAAAAAATATTTGTAAAGCCATAAAATTATGTAAAAATCATATCACTAGTCCATGTCTTCTATTTTCTGAATTAAAGTAAAATGTTACGCACTTAACAAAAAACAAATGACATATATTTTTTATATACAGTCGACCCCCCTATAAGATATAGATATGTTCCAATTTATTAGGAATCCGATTTCTTACAAGTCGTTCCAATCACAGCCCGACACGTGTCAAGTTTACGGATTACGGCTGATTGAAAGGTTTTCTTCCATAAAATTAATCGATTCTACACTAATCCGACTCAACATTTCCAAAATACGTATATTTTTTTGTAGTTTTATAGGAATCGTAATTATAGGGGGGTCGACTGTACTGTATTTACAAGAAAGATGCATTCCTAACTTGTGTAATAATTCTTACAAATTAAAAATTGTTAAATGAATTTCAAATAATAAGACAAATCATTCCATTGGAAATATGTTCCATTCTAATGTACTAAACATAAAATTGCTTCACAATGGATCGATCTGTATCAATTTAAGAAATCTATATTCTGTCCAAAAATTCTGTTATTATTTACTTTTGATATATTTAAATTTTGTATTTTCTCTACAAATAAAATATAATCAAGTATATATATATGTGTGTGTATTTGAATGTGGCTTATCTTTATATTTATTTGTTTATTTTTTATTAGCACCCAGTCCAGTTTATCCTAATACTCTTGTGCTAAAAAAATAGACTTATTGACTGACTAATTGTTATTTTATTTCTTGACTATACAGTATGTAAACTGGATTGACCTTTTTGATTAAAAAAAATTGATGGCAATAAAATTTTATATTGTGTTACTTTTGAATCTGATTCCTATTAATTAATAACATATTTAATAAATTTCATTCTGTGTCTAGGACTAAGGGGCAACAGCTGAATGGGATGAAGCATTAGCATGCCATGCTGCAGGATCTGCGATCGAATTTGGAGAACATATTTCTTGGACTATCTGTCCAGATATGTAGATTCTTTTACCACTCCACTGCCCGTATTGTGGACTTATACTAACACAAGTTGCCAAATGGATAAAATCACTGAACATAGGTAGTTGGTCGTGGGTTTGTGCTTTGTCAATGGGTTGGCCATGTAAAGTTTATCAGGTTTTCTTCATGTTAGTAACATCTAAATAGGGGCCAGTTTCCCATAAAAGACCTCCCATGAGGCATCCTCTATCACCATATCATCATGTGTTGTGTTGCCGTTTTTAAATAGGCTAAACCAAATCAAACTGAATCCATCATTGGCATGGAAAAGTTTTTATCTTGTGAGTACTAAGCAGTGGCGGGGCAAGACCTAAATTTGATGTGGGCAAGGTACATTTTGCGAGGCCTCTTGGTGGCGCAAGAAGACTGATTTTATAAAATAAAAAGCAGTTGAAACTGTCAAATTTTTATTCCTAAAAATACAAACTATATTCTTTAACTAACATTAAAAAAAATTAAAGAAACAGAAATTTTTTGCTTTTAGCCTTACTGAACTCCTTAATAATTGTATTGTAATTCAGCTTATATGCTATACTGTATATGCTTCAATAGATAAAAGTGCAAAAGCTGAAAGTCTTTCCTGACCCATTGTATTTCTTAAATAATTTTTTATTAGTTTTAATTTTGAAAAGCCCCTTTCAGCGTAGGCAGTACTTACCGGTATTGTTAACAAAATTTGAACAGCAATGTAAATATTTGGGTAAATTTCTTTCAAGTTATTTTCTGTTATGTATTTGAGCAGCTGTTTCACATCTTTAATGAAGTTGGTAAATTTGGGATCATTGTTTGTAATTCTTCATATAATTCGTAAGGTTGTAAGTCACTGCTCTCACTAACTCGCAGGACTGAGTGTAAATCTTGACAGTTTTTTAATATTTGCTCTTTTGGAATATTTTTTAACTTGCTTAGATCATAGAGAAAACCAAAATTTTCAAAATGTTGATTTAAAGACATAAATCCCGAATCCATATTGCTTATTATAGAATCAATCATGGTGTTAAAAAAATCTGTTTCATACCTGCTTTTGGGAGACTGTATAGGTTGATCGCTGCCTTCATCATCGAACATCCTTTTCTTTTTGGCTACCCTTTCGTTTTTAAAGTCTTTTGGCAGTTCATAACTGCTATTCTCAATAAATTGACGAGCGTCAGACAAGCATTTTTCGAATCCAGTTTGTCGATATTCTTTGATCCAGTCACAAAATGTACGCAAATGTTCAAGAGCATTGCTTAAATGGACTTGTAAAGATTGCCATAATTTGCTTATGATATTAACACGCGATAATATCTCATACCATACATGTAATGATATGATAAATTCTAAACTGAGCATTTCGTTTAAAACCGAATCACAATCACTGAGTGTGTCTGATTGTTCCGTTTGATTTTTTAAGCTTTCGATGCATTCAACATCAAATTGCAATAATACGGCCTTCACTGCCTCGATTCTGCTTTCTCACCTTGTGTCTGATAAAGGCTTCATAGTAAGCTTTAATTTGCCTTTGATTAATTCCCAGCGTTTGCTGGAACTTGAAAATAGCAAATAAATTTTCTGAATAAAACCAAAAAATGTTTTTGCTGCCACAGAAGAATTAGCTGCGTCTACCAACAGCAGATTCTAGCTATGACAACCGCAAAGTGTAAAAAATGCCTGGGATTAATATTTAATATTCGAGTTTTAACTCCATTATTTACAGGATACTTTACTGCGATACTTTGATTGGCTTTCTAGCCGTTGAGAATCGTGAAAGTAACGTAAACAAACACAATGGGAAATCTCCAGCTCTGACTGGCAAGGATTCCCCGCGATAGCTACCCAACGCCAGCAAATGTTGCTAGACAAATAAAAACAAATTCGGTATGTCAATATATTTATCGTTTTATGACGAGTAAAATTTTTTTGTTGAGTTTACGGCTTTTATGTAATGCATAAACCTTCGAAGCGCGAGGCCCCTCGGACAGCGAGGCCGTAGGCGGTGGCCCACGTCGCCCACGCCTTACGCCGCCTCTGGTACTAAGGGTAAAAAAAAAAGGAGTAATGATGTCTGTAGATAGGACCTCATAGAGACAGTTGCCCTTATGAGATTTTTTTCTATATTTTTTGTCAGTTTTGAATAACAGTTTTATTAATATATAATTCTCTCACAAAAATAGTTAAGTCATTAACTCCCTTGGTACCCACCAATTTTTAATGTTAATGTAATTAAACATAAAAAATACTTAAAACTGAAGAAAAAACGAAAGAAATGCGTTAATTTTGAAGAGAAAGCTTCAACGTTTAACTTCCATTGTCTCGTCTTTCCGCGAAATCTGACGGCGATGAGTAATTGTGTTTACAGTGGATGACCTTGAGAACAGCTGGTATCGTCTTTCGTGGAACATTCTCAAAAGTCTCAGGAGGAGAAGGGCTTAAAGTAGGGTGAATACTAGCTGGCTGTATATTTCTAAACATTTTTCAAAAATTACGTTTGTTATTGCAATTTCCGACTCCCCAGACTTTATTAAACGTATGTATAATAAAATATATTAATTAAAAAAATTATAAAACTATTTGAGGTCGTTTTTGACATCAGAAACTTTACCGAAGTAAAATCCGTGCACTAGAACTTTAGAACGATGAATAAAATTTGATTAAAAAAATCCCATAAAAAAAACAATTAAGCGTTAATCGTGCGTCATTAAAAGTAGATTAAAATCGCGATAAAATTTATTCGCGCGGGAAAAAATTTCAAGACAAAAACATCCAAAAATCAAAAAATTTCCGAAGGGTCTTAAACACCCGAGTTTTCCTTAACGCTATGTAAACTGGACGAGTTATCTCGTCAATGGTCGTTAAGGTGTAGATCGTAATATTACTGGTTTAACATTGAAATCCGTAAGTAATATAAGATGGGAGTCCTGTCAACTATACAGAACTATCATAAAAACATGCCAGTAAATTTCTATCGGTTAAGTTATAAATCTACTCGC